GGCTTTTAGCTTCTCTTCCCCATCCCTGAGAACATTAAGTGTTGGTTTATCCAAATTAGGCTAAATTGTAGTTAAGAAGCTTTTATTTTAGCTCTAAAAACGGTACTGATGTAACAATTAAAACTATACAATGGAGGAGCTTGATGTGTACTACCTCAAAAATAGAAGAAATTATTATATAAGGACACTGGACGGTCTAAAGGCCAATCAGAATGTGCCACATCATCCAATACAGAATGATATACAGTATTGGTACGCAACAAAAATTGATGTGATGCGTTCTGGTTGGCCTCTAGACGTCGTCCGATTTTAGCACGGAATAAATTTTCCACAAATAGTCCATTTTTTGTTATAATTATTTAAAAATGGTTTTTAATATTTTATATGCATTGAACTGCATTTAATTAAAATTTATTACTTTATGTCCCCATTTTGATAAATAAAAATAAATTAAATAATTCATACTATAATTTTAATTTTTAAAATAAAAATAATTGTATGTATCAATGTGTATTTTATAGGGGCGTCAATAAATAATCTGATTGAAGATCCGACAAAAAAAAAAAAGAATTTAGATGGGCAAGTTTAATAAATGAAATGGACCAAAACTTTAACCTATTTAAGTTCAGATTGACCTGTGAATAGGGCTGCAAACAAATCAAACCGAGCCGAGTACATGAGTGTTCATGTTTGAGTTCGTTTATTATTACCTTGTTCAAGTTCGGTTCATGTTTGATTCGAGTTTTATTGTTTATGTTCATGTTTGATTCATTTAGTGCTTATAGAGATTTAAACAAACAAATATTTATTTAGCAAATAATTTATTAAACAAAAAAAAACCTTAAACTTGTTTATGAACATCTTAAACAAATAATTTAGCAAACATGGATAAATGTAAAATATTTCTTATTCATGAACAAATTCATTATGATATATATAATAAATTTAAAATATTTATACTATATATATTTATCAATTTTATAATTAAATATTAATCAAAATTTTTATCAAGTTTATTCGCGAGCTCTGAATCGAACATAAATCAAGCTTTTATCGAGCTTTTTATCAAGCATAATGTTGAGCTTGTTCACGAGCTTCAAATGATGTTGTTCGTGAACATAAATGAACCGGAGACATTAGTATTCAAGCTTATTTATTTAAGGATCGAGTATTTAAAATGATGTTCAAGTTTGTTTGTTTAGTTAGATAAACGATTACAAACGAGCTTTAATTGAACAGAGCAACGAGTAGCTCGTCAAATGTTTGGTTCGCTTGCAGCCCTACCTGTGAACTTTATTTTGTTATTTTTACTTCAACTTAATTTTCACCTTTTATTTTTTAACAATTAATATTCTCAATATGAATACGAAAAAACTCAGCCATATAAGAACAATCTTTTAAATAAGTAAAGTTAATCAAATTTGCTAAGTAAAGCTGCCTAATTTTGTCTTTAATTCTGATGATGATATTCGGGGCATTCATAGTAATGTTTTCTCCCTTTAATATTTTATAGGGAATACCACTTTTTAATTTTCATTTATAAAATTTATTTATTTATTCATATAATATTTGTTTTTTATAATTGAGATATTTAAATATCATATAAATAAATATTAAAATTTGATGGTAGATATATAAATATCTAAGACTTATGTGATATATAAGTAAATTTTCATATATTATTATACTAATTATAGTTTTATACCAAGCAACCGCTTCCTTGCCCTCTTCGCTCGCTTTTTGGCTTCCAAGCTTCAACGAATAGGTCTCTTCTTCCTTTTCCTCTCTGTGTCCTTCTCTGTGATCTCGCACAGTGAATCTTCTTCGCTTTCAGCTTGAAATTGCTTCGTATTGGATTTCGTGTGCGTTTGTGGAATTGAGCGACCGGTGGATTGCAACTGAATCGAACAAATCAAACTTAGCGAGGATCGATCTGTGACTGTGAGCTTTTCAAAATTTTCCCAAGTTGTTGTAGGTGGAGGGTTTAGTTTGATTTTTTGTCGATGGTGTTCTCTTAGGGCAAATTTGAAGATTCTGGAGGGGTGAAATTATACTTTCTTGCATTGATATCAAAAAATTACGTCCTAGCATCATACACTATCTCCCAAATCAAATCTCAAGAACTAATGGATCTGAGATTGCACATTTTTTATCCTTCAATATTTTTCTTATTTTCGCTT